GTTGTACGCCACCCAGAGTCACCTTGTGTGAGATGGGCAGCTATATAAATATGATAAATAATAAATAAATAAAATAATAAGAAAAATCCCATTGATTTACAATGTACTTAGTACATTGTCTGTGGGTATTGTCCATGGGCATATTTACATTGTCCATGGGTACATATGGGTCCATGGGTACACTGTCCTTGGGTATATATACCCATTGTCCATAGGTATATAGACAGAACAAGTTGTCACCATAATTCTTTTCAAACAGAGCTGTAAATATAATGCTGCTCTTGTTCTTGAGGAGCATATAATTAAATCTGGTAAAATCTTCTTGGCCATTTACCTAAGGTCAAGTGTGTATTTTTCTGCTCACTTTGAAGGTGACTACTTTAATTTTCCAACATTGTACAGTACATTTATTTGTATACAAGTTCAAGATAAAAATAATAATGAACAGCACTGAAGACTATTGTGGAGGAATTGCATGTCAATACATTCTTCAGAATATTAAAACAGGATACATATCACTGATAACATACAATCTTTGCAGTCTCATCTTAACAATAACTTTCAAGGACAATTACCTGTAATGGCTTCTTAATTTAGACCTGTTCATAGGTTTTTAACAGGTATTACCTGCCATGGCTGTAGAATTCCATCTTCTATTCGTCTTCCGGCAAATGTTTTTCTGAGTGCTGAAACACTGGAATCAATGATATGTATAGAATTTGCCAAGGCATAGACTGCATTGTAAATACTGTAACTGTGACCAGTCATGCTTATTTCAAAGAAAGGCCCTGGTAAGCTTTCTAACCTCTCTTTCCCAGTGCAGCTGCTCTGAATGTTCCCCTCAGTATCAGAGTTTAGCAAGGAACAGCCAAATGCCTGCTCCCAGAATGTCTGGATGAAGCCATCTCTCTTAGCCAGGTGAGGATTTAAGCTCTGAAGAAAAGGCTGGAATCCTGGTATCTCATGTGAGTGGGGTGTGAAGGCTAAAGCACCATGGAAGATTTCTATATCCAAATCCTTATGTAAGACCAGTGCTGCAAAATCCAACTGTGCTGCCATAATCCATACTTTACCAAATAGTTTTTCATTTTTAGAATCTCCTGCATTCAGCACAATCATCAAAGATAACATAGTCCTAGTTTCTCCATGGACAACAATAGTATTAGCCTCACTCTTTAAAATATCTAGTAATATTTTATGCCATTTTATTTGTGCATTTGCATAGTCCTTGAAAAAAACTAATACGGAAATCCTTGCAATGAAGGCAGGACAGATGCCATTTTGAGAAAGCATTGGGAGCAGGTTCTTCAAAAAAAGTTCTCCACCATCATCATCAAAGATCATTAGGCATATCCATTTCCATCTGAAATGCAGAAGCAACTGGACAATTCCCTTGTACTGATGAATTTCATTTGGAACCAGCTGGTATAGAGAAACAAACTGGGACTGATCCCTCATCCTGGGAGCAAAATCACCATAGCTGAACTGGGATTGAGGAAAAAAGTGAAACTCTTTTATGAACAAATTAGAAAGTCAAGTGATATATCTATATTGTTGTATTTTGGAACCTTAAGATTTCTTTTTTAAATGGTTCCCTTCTCAGTAAAGTTTGCAAAATAATTTAAGTTCTCCTTATTCAAGTACCCAAGAAGATCTTGAAACACATATGTTAAGTTTTCATAGATGATTTACTCACACATATAAGTAATATGTAATAAAAGTATAGCTTGCAATGTGAGAATCACTATAGGAAATTATTTAAATAATTCAAATTCATCAATCGGCTGCTATATGATTCTATGATTATTTAAATATGCATTTGTTATACATTGCTTTGACTATCACTCCTGTCACATTTTTGTGAGGCCTATATATTTCAAGCTCTTGGCAGCCAATTTCTACCAAAAATGTTTTTTTTTTTTTTTCAATTTCCTTTCACAAGATTTATTGAAAGGGAATGGAATAAGTTTACAGAAATTTCAGCAACTCTACTGCTTTCACTTTGGAATCCAATTTACCTATCAGCTTATTAAATTGGAAACATTTCAACAATTTTACTCATGGCTTCTCTGTGAAGCAGTGAGAAGGAGATTCATTTCCATAAAAGCTGAGGAATGTGCAGGTGAATGGGATATACATCTATCTCAGAATCTGAACTTACCATTACAATTTATAGAGAAATGACTAAGGAAAGTAGATTGCTTTATATTTTTTGTAATGAATTAGGATATTATTATTATTATTGTTATTTATGTAAACATGAGTGCTTGTTAACGTATTTTTTATGAAGAAACTTTCATTCAATCCACTTTATGAAAGGCAAGTAAAAGAAAAACATGGTGATAAATCTAAAAAACTGACATTCCACTTTCCCTTTATACCTGAGGTAACTTATAGACGTTCAAAATGGCAGCCAAATGGCAGGAGGTATCTGTGCCCAGTCCCCCGATAACTGCTATCAGGGTGCTCTGATTACTGCACTTATAATTAGGAATTAATGTATGCGCTGCTGAGAAAAAATCTAGGGCGATGTGATAGTATCTCCTTGCATTAAAATAGCTTTCTGAGATGTGGAATCCCAAGGAGATATTAGGCAAGAACTGTTGATTTTCATTTATCTCAGTTGCAGCAAATACCAAGGCTAGAACATGCTGGTAATTCTTTGTCACAACTCTGCAAAGGAGAAGGGAGGGAAGAAATTCCCAGTATTAGCAATTAACGAAATGGGATAGTGCTATGAACTGTCTTTTATCTTCAAGTTGTCTTAATTCACTGCACGTAATACTACTGATTATGTCTAGAAGATTTAAACATGATATATGAGATGTTTGAAATAGAACAGAATATAAATAATAAGTTCAAATAAAATGAATAGGTAAAACCTTTCACCAGTGACCATACAGATAAGAAAGATATTTACCAAGAAGGTGGGAAGGGAAATGAAATCTTCTGGAGACATTATTATACTAAAAAGTTAAAGAGTCCATATGTTGGAACTATACTACATAAAGTAATCCTATGAGAATCTGAAGCTAAAGAAATACGACTGCAATTAAGAGTATTATTTTGATGGAGAGTTTATAATGTAGTAATGTATATTGCAAGCGAAAGACATGACACTAGAAAAAAGACGGGGATGGAACAAGAAATGCTACAAATAGTAAGAGAAGGGAGTGAAGAATGTAAGAACAAAAAAGGAAAAAATCAAGAAAATTTAAAATTCAATGCAGAATGTAATTTTAATGTTTATTGACTGAATCACAGAATTCTAGTGATGGAAGAGGGCTCCAGGAGACTAAATTAAAGGATGTCCAACAGACAGATGTCTAGTCTCTACTTGAAAACATCCAGTGAAGCCCATCACCTATCTAAGTGATCAACTACATGACTGGGAGTATAAATAAAAATGAATTTACCACTCTTAAAGATTAATTCATCTTTTTATTGTGTAAAATTTGTTGGTTCAGAAAGCTTCTATTCCAACAGATCCACAGAATTAATGAATATATATACACATGCCAGCACACACATGGACATATACATACAGAGAGTGAAAGAGAGAGAGAGAGAGAGCGCACTCATTGTATCTTTCAGAATACATGATTAAACAGGTTTATGCATTCTAAAAGTGGAAAATTGAACTTTTAAATTAATAAGCCAACAACTGATTAACTAAGATTTGGGGAATACTGTGCAAATAATACTAAAAATAACTGATTCATTTTAAACAATATTCATCTATAGGAGAAGGAAGAAGGAGAAACATAGGGATTCTTGCTGTTGTGAAGAAAGCCGAAATTTTGGAGGTTTCCTCTCTTAACAGAGAGACAGAGAGAGAGAGACACAGAGAGAGATTTACAAGATGTGGTATTCACATACGTATGTGCTAAAGGGGAACAATCTTCTGTGCAGGCATCATGTATTAGAGAAATACACAGAGAGAAGGTTTTCTGAATTTTTAGAGCTTGTGCATAGACTTTTGGTCCTTGAGAGTGAGTGTTGGGGAGATCCTTTAGTAGCTGGAAAAGCTGAGTTTGGTCACCATGTTCCTTTGCTTCCTGAACCAAGGTTCTCTTGGAGCTGGGGACTGAGTCCAGATCAAAGGATAAACACTGATCTGATTCTAAATCCATGTGATCAGGGGGAGTTAAAGAGCTCTTCCATGCTGTGGAACCCAATTGAGCCTTGTTGCTTCAGGGAATCAGGGAGGCTGCACTTGCCGACTCTAAGAAGGCAATGCACTGGAGGATTTTGGATCAGCTTCTGCAAGGCTCACCTAACTCCATGGGGCTATACCACCAGTGGAGGACCCTAACAGGTCAGTGCCTCCATGAAGATGACACTGGTTGGGGTGAATTCCAATTGAGGAAGGGTTGTGGCTTCAGAAGGGACAAAGAGTTTTCTCTATGGGTTGAGCAAAAAGGGTGACAAGTGAGGGGTAAAGCTTAGGCTTGGCTGTCAAATTCTGGATTTTTTCTGAGTGACTTCAGCTGGAAGTCAGTATGAAAAGAAGAGAACAGCAGAGCAAGAGCAAGCTCAAACTAGTCAGAGAGATGGGTTTTTCTTTCTCATTTTAAAAGGGTTTTCTGTTCTGGAGCAAAAGTATTACTAGTCCAGATAATCCTATTATCTTGTAAGAAAATGGGGAGAAAGAAACAAACAAGTAATAAAAACTATTTCAAGACCACGGTTAACAAAGAAGTTTCATGGAAAAGCAGATATGTCACTGACAAGTGTATGGCTATTGCCCAGCTTAACAAAAGGAATGCTTTAACAATTTATATTGTTAAAGCATTTATAATTTATAATGCTTTAACAAATATATTGAGATAATTCAATATATAGAAATATAAATAAGACATACATACATTGGGGAGTCAACATCAGGAGTAGGATATTGATTAAAAGAAAACTGATCTATAAATACTATCATTTGAGAGCTGGTCCCACCAATCACAAAGTCACCAGGTCTGAAAAATTTATGAGGAATATAGATCCTGTTCTGAGTGGCACATATAGCAACAGTATGTTCCCGGAATTCAATGCATGGCATCTGCAAGAGAGAAAAGAGTAACATTTTCAGCCACCACATTTTGCTTTTTAGATCCTTCTAGGTGCATCTTCCTGACTTTGCAGTTACAATTATATCAGATGTATTGTTCTGCTTGTCCATCCTGAAAGGCATCTGACCAAATTCTTGTAATATTTTAAGCTCTTGCCATGCTCTCTTCCCCTCTAAAAAATAATAAAATAAAATAAGGAAATGATCAAGAATTGGAATGAAGGAATCCTGACTGAATTCTAGTTCTCAGTATTGACAAAGGCTTTTAAATACATTTTTAGCAACTTTATTATTATGTTGCAGTTTCAGCACATCCTCATGAGGGATTGATGAAAAGTGGATGGAGAAGGGCGGGGGGAGAACGGTGAGTCATTCATAAGGTCCTGAGGGACTTTTGTGGGAATTATGGGATATAAATGGAATATGAAAAGGTATATGATTCGTGCCTCCCTAGAAATTTGGCCTAAGTGACATTTTCCCTAGGATATATCACAGTGAAAAAACATACTCCTACTACAAACTACTACTACTAGTAGTAGTTAATTACATTGTAGGAAAGGTGTCCTGATTTTCAGTTGCAAAGCTACTTAATGAAAAAAAGTCCTTTGTTAAGATTTTATTTGTTTAATGTGGAAGTACCTGTTTTTAATTCAGGAATTCTTTTTATTGCTTAGCTTGGGGATACAGTAGAGACCCCTGCCCCCCCCCCAATTGTTTAGGGCAAAGATGGAAGCTTTTAGACTGGGCACATGTATTTTCCAATGGTGGCCATATTTAGCTTAACCAAATCTTACAGAACACCAGGATGCTGAACGCATTGAACTTGGCATCATTAAAACTATCTGGTGGCTTTCTAGCAAGGTTAACCACAAAGAAGCTCTCAAAAGCCAGGAAGCTCATCTAGGAGGAGTCAAAGCTCCCTCAGTACACTCCAGCTCAATTTCTTCATCCACCGAGTACATGCCAACATCTGAGAATTGGGATAGGATACCAGCCATACTATGCACATGCTAAGCCAACTCTCTCAGCCACACTCATTTCAGTGAAAGGCCCAGGAAGGCTTTCAAACCTCTTTTCTCCAGTGCAGCTTTCTGAATGTCCCAATCAACCCTCTTGTTTGGAAACAAGCAGTCAAATATCTGTTCTCAGAATATCTGGGCAAAGCAATCTTATTTAGCCAGATGGAGCTTTAAGTTTAGAAAGAAATGTGGAATTTCTGGCACCTCATGTGGATAGGGTATGAGAGTTAAGCACCTTGCAAGATTTCAGTGTCCAAATCCTTATGAAAGGCCAATCTTTCCAAATCCAACTATGCTGCCATAAACTATATTTTACCAAACAGTTTCTCATCATGAGATCCACTAGTGTTCAGTATAGTCATCAAAAGTAGCACAAT